GTGACCTAACCAGCCGGTTCCAGCCAGAGGACAGAAGCGAGGAGAGGAGGCCCCGGTTTACGACCCTGTTTACCTGGAGAGAAGACAATGGACTGAGGCGGGGCTTGGGGCCGGGGATCTCAGATGCCCAGCGGGGAGCAGGGGGGCTCTGGGCTGGAGAGGGGGAGCAGGCAGAGCCCACCTGGTTGCAGAGAGACTGGGATGTGCTGGGCTGAGGGAGGCCAGGCCTGAGGCCCTGAGAGTTTCCTGTGCTGTGTTCAACTCTCAATAAACCCTCCTGTTTTATGCTGGCTGAGAGTCACTCCGGTCTAGAGAACAGGGTTGCATCAACCCCTTCGGGGGCGGAGGCCCCGGGGGTCCAGAGCGAGTGGACTCACGGCAGAGACAGACGTCCTAAGGCTTAGAGAGGTGCGGCTCCAGGAGGTGAAGGGGCCTGACCCCGAGAGAGAGTGGACCCCCGAGAAGGGCTGTTGCACTGAAAGGGGCACCCCCCACGGACCGCACAGGGCCAGGAGTGGGCACTATCTGTGAGTCCGTGACAGCCGGGGGTTGGCGTCTCAGTGGAGGGGTGTCGGGGGGCTGGATGGGGAAGAATTTGCATCATGGTGTGGGAGGGGAGCGTTGGGTAGTTGGTGGAGGAGGTGCTTGGGTGTGGGGAGGAGATGGGGTTGGGTGTGGGGGGAGTCCGAGATGGGGGGGCTGTGGAGGTAGATGGGTTTGGCATAGGTGAGGGACTAGGGGCACTGGGGCTTAGTCAGGTGGGAGGGCATTCTGGGGCACTTCCTGTATTGGTGCCGCCCAGGGGGAGGAGCTTTGGGGGCACTTCCTGTATGGGGAATAGGGCATGGAGGCAGGACTATGGGTGTAGAGGGAAGGGAGGATTGGCATCTGAAGCACTTCTTGTTCAGGCACTGCCTAGGGGGGCAGGACTTCCTGCATTGGGCATGCCCCAAAGGGCATTGCCCTGGGGGGGCAGTGGGGAGGGTAATGGTCTCTCCTGGGCCCCACGGGGCAGCGTCTGACTCACGTTCGGTGCTGCCCCCCCCCGCAGGTGAAGACGAGCGACAAGGACGTCAAGATGAAGGCCGTGCTGCTGGGGGCCTGCTTCCTCATCGTGAGTGCCCCCCTCCCCCCACATCCCACCGCTGGCAGCAGCAAGCGCCCACACCCCATCCCACCGCTAGCACCAATCAACCCAACCTCGCCATCCCACCACTAGCCCCAATCAACCCAACCTCGCCATCCCACCACTCCCGTCGAAAAATTACCTTCTTCTGTTTTGCCACCAGTTGACCTCTGCCCTCATCCGATGTGTGACACCAACCAACCCACCCACCCTCTCTCCCTATCCACCGACCCATACAGCCAGTTTCTTCCCTTTCCACCCCGGCACCCAAGCACCAGAGAGTCATAGAGTTGAAGGCCAGAAGGGACCACCAGATCATCTTGTCTGACCTCCTGTATCTCACAAGCCAACAACCCCATCCAGCATCCGCACACGAACCAACAACCAAAATAGGCCAACGGATTACAGCCCATGGGAAACTCACCCTCTCCCCATCCTATTGGTTCCACCAGTGAGCACCCCCACCCCCCGCCTGCCACTGGCCACCCTAACTTCTCCTTCCCACAACTCGCATCAACAGTCACTTTGTGCCCCTTTGCCATCCTCATCCCACTGCTATCACCAATGAATGGCCATCCCACTGCTCCCACCAAGCACCTCACTCAACCTCTCCCCCACTTCCACCCCAACCCACATGCTCTCCCACATCCCATTGCTGCCACCAGCCAACCTCTTCTTCATGCCACCAGCCTGCCCTACCTCCCCCTCCACCCCACCTCTCACCCCACCAACCCACCTTGCCCTCTTCCGCTGTTCCACCACCACCCAACCTCCTCTTCTCATAGCCGGAGCCTCCAGGGTGCAGAGGCCGTGACCTGTTTTCTTTCCATGGTGATCCCACCCCGAGATTGGAGATCTACCAATTTGGAAAGCACTAGACTATGTGTCTGTTCCTCTCTCTCCCCTCCCCAGGATTACATGTTCTTCGAGAGAGCGGGCAAGACCGGCCAAAGGAGCACGGTGCTGAGTAGCTAGAGGCGTCTGGACCCCCGCACCTCCCGCTCACTGCCACTTACAGGGACACCCATCCCACCGCTGACACCAAGAGGGGCCCCCATCCCATCTCTAACACCAACGAGGGGCCTTTATGAATAGGACAGCATGTTTAGCGGCCGTCAGGACTGGTGTGGGTGTCAGGGCAGTGAGACTGTTTGCAGAGGTGGCAAGGAGGCCTGCGGGTGTGGGTGCATCCCGTGCCATGGGGCTCGGTGGACAGTGTTGTGTGCACAGCATGATGGGGGCTCCTTCGGTTGTATCTGAAGAACATCAAGCCCTGGGCCTTCTCCCACCAAGGCATCTTTAGGACCTTCACCCAGACAGGAAACTCTGGCCTCCATTGGCTGCCAAATTCCTGGGGTCCTCATATCCCCTGCCCCCACCATGCCGGGAGCCCCTCCCTGTTGGCTGGGGGGTCCCTTGAACACCGAGCCGGTGGTGGCAACATCCCGAAACCAAATCTCTGCCTAATGATATTTCTCATTCTGTATTTTGTGTATTTATCGCTTATAACGAAGTGTCTTGCGCTGAACCTTAAAGGGGGCTTTGTGGGGGGAGCAACATGGTGCTTTTTAATGGGGTTCCCCCCCCCCGGTTCCTCTGAATTCCTGATGCTGAGGAAGGGGCGTCATGCCACGGTGGAGGAATGGTAGGGTTGGCTTGACCCACGGAGGAGCTGTGACCAGCGTGAAGTCATGCCAACCCACGGTGGAGTCATGTGGGCCATGATGGATGGAAGTGAACCCAAGATGGTATGGTGGGCTATTGGCCATGATGGATCGAAGCCAACCCAAGATGGAGGGCCATTGGCCACGATGGATGGAAGCCAACCCAAGGTGGAGGGCCATTGGCCACGATGGATGGAAGCCAACCCAAAATGGTGGGCCGTTGGCCATGATGGATGGAAGCCAACCCAAGAAGTAGGACCCTTGGCTAAGATAGTCATGCCAACCGTGGAGGCACGTTGACCACGATGGAGTCAAGCCAACCCCAGATGGAGACATATTGGCCAACGCGAGAGAAGACAATCTTGGGCCACTCTATTGTGTCTTTCTTTTGTGGGGGGAGTGGATGGGGGAGGAGACTGGAGGGAAGGTGAGAGGAAGGGGAAACTCCCCCACAGGCAGGGGAGGAGGGGACTGGACCTCCTGTCTCAACAGATGGTTTTGCTGGGTTTCCTCCATGGGGAGCCAAAAACAATAAAAGGCTAAGACTTCAGCTGTCCACGGGTCCTCTGTCCCGGCTACTCGTCCGTGAACCACTTCCTCGTGCTCTCTCTGCCCCACACATCCTTCCCCCCACCCTTCATTCTCCCCCAAAATCCAGTTCCCTCTGCCCCCCACAACTCCTTCTCCTCCCACACCCACCACCCCAGTACCTCCACCTCTCTCCCCCCCCAACCACCCCCTCTCCTCTCCCACCCATCTTGTCCTGCCCCACTTCAGGGAGGGTGAAGGTCACAGGGCCCATTCCAGGTGCGGGTGAAGAGGTCCTGGGGAGTCCCATTTGGGGGGGATGGGGAGGAGGGCCCCAATCACACCACCTGGGACACCTGTTTCTAGTTCACCTTTATTACTTTGCACAATAAATACAACACCCGTAATGACTGTACAGTAGGTAGACACGGGGCCCGGCTCGCAGCCACAATCCACCCCCACTACACACCTTCATGTGCAAGTTGCACACCAACTCGCACACGGACAGCTTTGCACACCCCCATTCTGCACACCCAATCCACGCACACGCCTTGTGAAAAATCCCAAACCCCAGGAAGGGGGCGGACGCACCGTCACATGCGAGGGCCGCACGAGCCTCTCCCAAGCTGTGTGCACACACGCACCCCACACCCACAATCATGCCCCCCCAAATGTGCACACAACGGGACAAGCTCCGCACCCAGACCCAAGGGGCACAACCACCCACGCGGGAACACGCAAAAATAGATGACTCGCACAGCCACACCCACTTTCTTACACAACTCACACACCCACAGGCTCCTCCCTAAACGCGCACACAGACAGGCTACAGCCACACAAGCAAGTCACAACCAGCTGCAGGATGCCTGGGTTCTCTCCCCGGCTCTGGGAGGGGAGTGGGGGCTGGTGGGTTAGAGCAGGGGGGGGCTGGGAGCCAGGACTCCTGGGTTCTCTCCCCGGCTCTAGGAGGGGAGTGGGGGGCTGGTGGGTTAGAGCGGGGGGGGCTGGGAGCCAGGACTCCTGGGTTCTCTCCCCGGCTCTGGGAGAGGAGCGGGGGCTGGTGGGTCAGAGCAGGGGGTCTGGGAGCCAGGACTCCTGGGTTCTCTCCCTGGCTCTGGGAGGCCGGAAGGGCCAGGCCAGGCAGAGGTGGGAAGCTGTGGCTGTCTCTGGGCCCTGCTGGGGTGGGTAGGATGTTGCCCCCTTCAGGCCCGGAGGCCACGGCTCAGGATGTAGCGTGAGGCCATGGCCAGGTTCCAGCAATGCTCCAGGAGAGAACCCAGGAGTCCTGGCTCCCATCGCCCCCCCTGCTCTAAACCATCCCCTTGTGCTATGGGAAGGACTTTGAGCTCCATCTAGTGGTTGTGTTTGGTAATGCAGCCCAGGGGGCCTGCGATGCTTTAACTCTCCAGAAGGGGGCGCTCACCTGCTGGAAATTCAAGCTCTCGTTTGCCCCCCTGCCCCAGATCATGCTGAAGGTGGAGCGGGGACAGTCAAACATATGATGAGAAATTCTGAAAATCTGATCTCCTCATATAAAAGAAAAGCTTCTCCTGATCCCACAGGACCAAGCCCCAGATCCAAGTCCAATGATCCCTCAGATCTTACCCCAAATCCACGCTATAGTCAATTCTTGTCAACTAAACTAAAATCTATTAAAAAAGAAAAGAGTTGGTTAAGAGATCAATATACAGACAGACTTGAATTCAACTCTTGAGGTTCAGGTACAGAGCAGAGATGAGCTTGTAGTTGCCAAAAGTCCTTTTAGAAACAGTCCAATGTCCATATTCAGGGTGACTCCAGTCAGTGACTGGGGATCTCAATCCTTGTGGCTTAAGGTTTCCCCCTCTTGAACCCCAAAGCAGATCTGAGATGAAGCAGGATCGTGTCCCAGGGTTTTTATACATTTCCAGCAGCCTTTCGGCCTGAGAAAACAATAGCTCAACTTTCCTTCTCACAAACATCCTGGCAATTAGCACAGGGTCATTTATCCATTAAACAGTTCAGATACAGGTTCCCACAACCTTCAAAGAGACAGAGAGACAATAATACTATTTCCCTCAAGTGTCTTCCTAAATGTTAATATTCCTTTTTTGAGCTTTGACTCCAAGCTCTAGCAATAGACAAGACTTGGTTGCTTCCATCACAAGACCTGAGCAAACATCTCCCCTTCTATCGCTAACGACGCAGACTTGCATTTCAAACCTCTGTCCATTTATAGATCTTCCTAACCCGTGTCTAAAGTTCGGCCCTGGGTCAGGTCAGTCTGGGAGTTCATTAACTCTTCCTGGCCCTGTCACCTTCCAATGAGATATTAGGTTACACTCCTAACGTCACAGCAGTTCAACATATAAGATTTATATTAAAGTAAGTTTGGCTGTAATGCAAGGGCCCTACAGGCCATATCCTGTTAGTTAAGCGCAGGCAAAGTTAGCACATCTATATTAAGACCTTTTACCCAGAAAGCAACGTTGACCTATACCTTGTTACCTAACTAGATAAGTACCCACACCTATGCTGAGGACCTTTTATCTAGCCCAATAGACAATGGAGAATGGCATGGGTTTTTTTCAATGTTGTACCCACAAACTTAACAGGTACACCACAAGAGACTGATCTGTGTACATACCTGTTATTAATATGCACAAACCTACTAGCCTATGGGGT